ATTATTGTTGTATAAATAATTTTAGTTATTATGAATTCTTAGAGAAGATAATCAAAGTTCTGAAAATCCCTCCTAATGCCCAAAAATTACTTTTTCACCAATCAGTCTCGCACAAATGGTAGTCTTATTGGTAATATCCATATTCTTCCAAAACTTGCATATCGATGTAAAAAGAAAAAATATCTGAAAAATAGAATTCATTCCAAAGAATGTGAATGAAAAATTCATGAGTTATATAATTAACTTACTTGGAGATCTCATTGAGCTCTTTCTTGTATAGAGATTGCAAGTAGTTGAAATCCGATTTAGCAAAGTTTAGGAGTGTTTTATTATGTGAAGTATCTTTTTAGTATATGGAAATATATCTTTTAGCTTCTAGCCTTGGTAAAGCCCTACGAATCGGTCAGTTTAATGCCTTGGCTACTTGTGTTGCAAGAAGATTGTCTGAAGTTGTGAAGGACTTAAGGTGAGTGGTTGTAAAGGTGCACGCTTCCTCTAGTATAGCTTCTCCATGTACTTGCAAATATGAAGCTTCATAAAGTTCTAATATATCTATGACATTGCTACATAAAGATTCTTTGAAGTTTCCATCTTTATTCTTGAACTTATTGAATATTCTTGTCCATTGTGATCAATTATTTAAAAACTTAATCAAATATGAAATTACCTAATTTAGCATTTATATTCCAATAAATACATATTGTATTTGTACTCTTTACTTACAAAATAATTTATATTAAATTAGATGAATATAAACTATATACGTAGTTGGAGGACTATAATCTATATATTATACCACTAAATTAAATAAAATCACGAGAACATACCTGATAAAACTTTGTAACCTTGTTGTTTGAGCAATTGAAATAGGAGAGAAATGTTATAAAGGTCATCGCTATCGTTAATAATATCAAGATCAAGTTGAGTCTCATAGATCTGTTTCAAGATTTCATTGATCTCCCTCTCAAAATGGTAAGCTACACCCAATTGTTGAATGGTATCAATCAAAACAAGTTTCTCTCGCAAAGGCTTGTCAACCACGAGAATTAGTATTTGCTTTACTTCTTCCTTCAGATTGTCATACTTTCTTCTATCATCATCCTTATTATAGTGAAAACAAGACATTAATTATAACTAGGAATAATTAGTTAGCACATTAGAATAAAAATGTCCTTATATATATATTGTAGTATATTTTGTAAACCTTTTAGTATAAATTGAATACTAATATACATATTTAATTTTTTACACACTTTCTCTGCCCCTTATATATGATAAACAACTAAGCATGCATAATGTATATGGTAGAATATGGAAAACTAGATACATAAAAGAGTAAATATGTAACTATTAATTAAAAATTATGTATTACATGCTATGTGGGTGCATATATATTAGTGTAGTAGTAAGTATTACATTTATACAAGTATATACTATAGAATTCTTTCATATGAGAGGAAATAATAGTTTAGAGATTAACAGAAGTAAGGTGGAATCATATGAGAGAAAATGGTCTCTCCAAATGCTGGGTTGGAAATTTCCCAAGGGACGCTTTATGTCTTGTTTGGTGGTTTGGGTTGGAGCTAAAGTTGCTTCTGAGACTTTAATGGAAGACATGTTCTTGAGTTGATTTTCTCCTTTCCAACCAAGAGGCAAGAAAGGTGGATGGTTTTTGATTTGTAATGGGTGGGTAATTATGTCTTATTATTCATTAGACACTATGAATTTTTTTTTAAAAAAAAAAAAAACAAATAGTAAATTAATTAATTGAATAATAAGGTGAAAAATACAATTAGTGCTGTGATAATATTTAATGA